GGAGAACAAAGACCCCACACAACCTATAAATTATGTGAGAAATCTTTAAATACATGGATGGCGAAATACTAAAGAAATTGTTCACAACTTTTGTTAGACCAAAGCTGGAATGTGCAGCGGTTGTATGGTGTCCATATCTTAAGCAGCACATCAACAAACTGGAAAAGGTGCAAAGATATGCCACTAAGTGGCTCGCAGAACTGAAAGACAAGAGCTATGAAAAGAGGTTAGAGGCATTAAATATGCCAAACTAGAAGACAGAAGAAAAAGGGGTGATATGATCACTACATACAAAATAGTAACAGGAATTGATAAAATTGATAGGGAAGATTTCCTGAGACCTGGAACTTCAAGAACAAGAGGTCATAGATTTAACAGACAATTTTTCTCGACTGACGAACTTTCACTCGATTAGCAAGCATTCCCGCTGGTTCTCGGACACCTCCGACGACAGTGTTGTTGTTTCGCAAGACTATTTTTCCACGTGACGCACTCGGTGCCAGAACAGATTACATTCGTTAATCGAGGTGCCACTGTAATTATACTTAGGTAATTGCTAACACCTCTCCTCCCCCCAGCCCTTACCGTCTTCCATACGCCAACAAGAGTCATCAATAAAGGTAAGCAATAACTTGTACATACTTTAGTACTAAAGATTTGGGTGAATGAGGTATAAAATTTACCTTAACGTTAATATTTTTGGAAGTGTGGAACAGATTAATTCAATTTACATTATTTCTTATGGGAAAATTCACTTCGGTTTACAAATTTTCGGGTTACGAACCGTCTCTGGGAATGGATTAAATTCGTAAATGGAGGGACAACTGTACTTCTAAAACACATTGAAATATGAAAGGTCTCCAGATGGTTGCTGGCCATCAGACTATTGCCAACATTTTATTATCATGCATTAATCAAAATACTCTTCAAACATCATAAATGCAAAGGAAATATGGGAATGCGATCGACCCAAAACCCAAGTACAGTAAAACTGGCCAGAGATTACAGGTGAAGAAAAAAAATGTCTTTATTAAAGAGAAAAGATGGAAATGTGGTAAACTGTAGTTTCAAGAAGGTCAACAAATCATGAATTAGTACCCAAGTGCCCAAGGCAGCTCAGATCACCTAGGAGTCCAACCAACCTCAATCACATACCAGTACTGCCTTCAAGGTACACTCGAATCCCACACAAAATGTAGATCAACACAGGGCCTACAATACAATATAGGCAGTACAGGGAGCTACTGGGGATACCCAGAGAAGGGTTGTTCATTACATTCAGCACTTAATTTCTAGACTTCCTCTTAGTAGCTTCCTGGTGCATACTCCCAATGCAGGAAACTCTGCATTGGGAGTATGTAACTCTGCAGTAATCCCAACTGCAGGTTTCCTCTCCCAATGGGAGAGGAAACCATTTTTGGGTCAAAAGAAATGCAATACAATATTAATCAAGGTACAAGACAGACGAGCTGACCCACCGGGGAAAAAAGCACGAAACCCAGGGCTTGGGGAAGGAAGGAACCGAGTGCTTGGAAAGGTGCTGATGATCTACACAGGCACAGTGGAGATTGGTAACTTCTAACAAATGACTACCTGAGCCCCCGAGCTCAGATATTTGTCAAGTCACATTAGTAAAGAATGTAATACTGGATAATGGCTACATGCTTGTGAACATTACAAGTACTTGGATACTATGAGGCTGTTTGAAATGAATCACCAAATAGATAACCTAAGAGAGTCTGGTCTTGGAGCAAGGCACCAAGGAAACATGATTGACAATGACAACCACAGCTTGAGAAGCATGGGTAACATGCAAATAATACCACAAAGCAGCAAAAGGACAGAGAATATGATGTACCTCTGGCCAGACTTAGTATCTACCTTGAGGTTACCTTGAGATGATTTCGGCGCTTTTTAGTGTCCCCGCGGCCCGGTCCTCGACCAGGCCTCCACCCCCAGGAAGCAGCCCGTGATAGCTGACTAACACCCAGGTACCTATTTTACTGCTACGTAACAGGGGCATAGGGTGAAAGAAACTCTCCCCATTGTTTCTCGCCGGCGCCCGGGATCGAACCCGGGACCACAGGATCACAAGTCCAGCGTGCTGTCCGCTCGGCCGACTGGCTCCTACCAGTAGTGGATCCTAATAAAAGAATGGGACTCATTCTCAGCCAAAAAGAACACTGCAGGAGATACAGAGCAAGCTATCAAGGATGAATGGAACAAAATCATCTTTTGTATCAAAGAATATTAAGTCAAAAAATGTGAAAACTAGAAGCATGAACTAACAAGGAATCCTTTGCTGAGAGGGACAAAAAATGAGGGAAGGCCAAAAAGCTAAATGACCAAGAAGGTTCAGGAAGTATGAAAGCTAGTCAGAGCTGAAAAATGGCACACAACTTAAAGATGGAAAAACATCCACCCAAAAAGCAAGGAAGAGGGCCTCCAGCAATAATGAACAACAGGAAGCAACAGTATTAGGTACGAGAGAGCACGTCACAAAGAGCCTGAATAAAAATAACATGACATGACCACTGGCACAGAAACAGAGGACGAATGACAAAATGAAAGAAAATTCAGAAGAATTGCCAAGCCATTTCATACTAGCGGCAAGATGAAAAATGCAACACTAAAAAGAGTCATCACCTGAACCCCCATAACGGTAATGTCACAAACAGCTCAAAATCTCCAAATGTGAAGATCAGTGGATAGGCTCGAACCATACATGTAAGCAAGCCCATGAAGCATCTGGAAAAAGGCAGAAATCCAGGAACTGAAGAAAACAGGGTCAACAAGTCTGAACGACTGGAAACCAAGGTAGAACTGGCCAAATGGGAGTGAGAAGAACAACACAGACCACAAAGGTTTGAAACCTGATCAACACAGAATGGAGTAGAAGAAAGAAGTAAAGGACGTCCCACCAAATCTATTCCAAAAGAAAAGCCTCATGAGCGAGAAAAGAAGCAACAAAAAGAGAACTGTTGACTCCATACAGAGGAAAATAAATCCAAGTGAGGACAACCAAATATTTAGGAGAGCCAATGGAAAGATGCCTTGTCCACCTTCCATCCCTTTGAAATCAGACAGAAATAGGAAAGACTGTATGAGAACACTGTACACTCCATGAATATAAACTGCATTGAGGACTAATACCTAGAGATGCTAGAAAGGACAATATCCAAAGAGTTCACCCTCATGCATAAAAGAAGGGAGTGGAACCACCTCATCATGATATGTCAACCACAGGCAGGGAGATCACAACTCCTGGCCAACATGATGAAACCTGGAAACAAATCCCCAGCCAAGGCCTGAGACATCCATGAACAACTCAAGCAATGAAAGGGAAGGGAGCCATGAACTGAACCCACCAAGCCTCAAGAAGAAGACGTTGAATTAAAATCCTACACAAGACTAACAGAGGCTGCAGTGAAGTGAAGTGCTGAACCAGAAAGTGATACAATACCTTCATCAAATCCAGCCCATCAGGAGGACCTCTCGGAAAATATTCAGTTGATAAAAAAAATACTGAGGCCACAACAGGAAGAGTGAGGACCTGTAACACTTGCTAAAGATGGTCCAGCACACCAAGAGCCCTCTAGTATTCTCGCCAAGAGAGAAAAAAAAAAAAAAAAAAAAAAAAGAGAAAATCCTGGAGACCCATGCCAACCCTAACTACAGAGAAGGAATCACCCGAGACTTTGCCAATTAAGAAAGGACACAATGTTAGAGTAGTTTAACAAATGGAATGTATTAGGTAGTGATGTGGTGGAGGCAGACTCCATACACAGATTCAAATGTTGATTTCATAGAGCCCAATAAGCTCGAAAGTCTGTACATCAGTTGATTGACAGTTGAGAGGGGGGGACCTAAGAGCTAAAGCTCAACCCCCCCCCCCACACACACACAAGCACAACTAGGTGCTGGCAAACAACTCTAATGATTTGATGCCCAAACCAGTCAGTCATCAAAGTGTTCCAGAGCCCAACACTGAGGATCCAGATATGATGAGGCACCCCCCAAGTAAACCTTGCCTAAGCAGATGAGCCCAAAAGTGGTAGTAGATGAGGCCCACTTTTGATTCCTAGCCACTTCCTGAACTGCTGGTATATCAGAGCAAGCCAGTAAGCATCCCACTGTTCCAGGGGAAATGAGCCAAGACTGACTAGAAAAAACCTGGCAAACCTAGGAAAAAGTGGTGATCCACGAAGTTAGTCAAAGAATGTGATTATTGAGAAAGTAAAAAGAGGAGTACAAAGCAAGGATTTGGAGAGCCTTCCGTTGAGACTGGAAACAGCCAAGACACAACTCTAATAGTTGAAGTAATAGCAATGACTCCTTTATCAAACTGTGAATGACTGTCCAAATGAAAGGCATAGACATCTGGGAAGGAACCTGTGGTATCTTTCAAGGAAGAGAAAATCAAGCACAATCAAGGAATCAAGACCCTAGCCTACCATAAGGTCTCCAGGATATGTCCACTCACTATCCCAACACTGAAGCTTACCACAAAAGGGTGAAACCTCATCACCCACCAAACCTGTCCAAATTTCATACAGGCACCAACCATGACAATAAAAAAGGTATTGTCAGCTCAACCCACACCAGAGACAAAAGTGCACCATAACCCAAACCTTGTCCAGGAGCCAGGAGTTTCCTAAAATAGCTCACCAAAGAGATAAACATGTAGCACAGAATCTATTGGCACATCACAATGTAGCAGAGAAAAAAGCTTGAGCAAGGAGAAATGTGTAGTTAACTGAGGAAAAAAGAGAAAGGTGGATGAATGAAAAAGTGGGATGGTCTTTGAAAGAGAAGAGCCAGTCTTAATTGAAAAAATTTAAATACTGTACATAAAATTATTATGCATTTTTTAAATAAATATTATGAGACACATGACAAGGGAAACACAGACAAACACAAACACCCATATACAGAAGAATATAACACTGCATAAAAACAAAAAATTGCAATATACAGCAAAAACTATTAATTTATCTTACCACAGAACTGAGATGCATTATCCATAGCACTGCAAAATTCACCATAAATGTATGTCGAATGTAAATACTATCACTTATTAGAACTCAAATTGTATTACATATTTTCTTGTACAGTATTTAACAAGCAAATTCAAATATGCTGTACTGTCAGCCAGCACCTTGCTGCTGAAAACTGTCATTATCCACTTCCACTGAGACACTGTTAAAGACTGCAGTAATTCAACAAAGGAGGTTAAAGTTTGCAAGTGTTGCTGACAAGTTGCTCAGACAGAACACCTGCATGGCCAGGTGTGAGTCAGATACATGAGCAGCACCTGCCTCGGAACAACTAATCGAGGCATCACCGCAGAAGATGCATCAAGTGTGTGGATGCCTGGCCACGAATGTGAAAGATGTCACAACAGCTGCACGGTGGGGATATGTCAGGGGGACAGAAGTAGTGCCAGGCGTGACAGAGTACCATGGCAGAGACAGGGTTAGGTGTGGGAAAGTCAGCTGTCCGAGGATGACTCTCGGAGACGCTGCAGCAGAGGCGGGTCAGGTGATGTTCACGTCTCACCTCTGACACTCTACACTCTCTGTGTAATATGAGCCCCAAGCCACGAGACACACATTCACCACACCCGCACACATACCCACTATACCAGCTACTCACACAAACACTTCCTTGCAAGGATATTGGCCGGGTTAAGGGCCGCACACCTTTAACATTTGATGAATTGTCCAGCTTTGTTTTCCTGCTCGCAGGCCTGCCACTCTCCACCACGCCCACGTCTACCAACATTGCCAATTAACCTGTAATACTCTATATATTAATAATATCAATGTTAACTATCTATTCGACAATAAATATTAAATTGTATATATATTTTCTTTATCTTATGTTAAACAGAGAGTATGCTGTATAAATTATGAAAAATTAATAAACTGGAACGTATATAACCATACAATGACGCAGAAGTCACACTAGCTGACCCCACGATAGTCGTCGCCCCTAAATCAACACAATACTAGCTGACCAATTCTTATATACTATCCAGAACCTGTAGATCGAGATCTATGACTCGGGAGTGGGGGGCGCTACGGACATCTGTCCTTGGCATACAAGGAGCGACAACTCTCCTAAGGTAAGCTCTAGAATCATGCAGGTACTTCCTAGTACACCTGAAGGTTCACCAACCAATTTTACCTCACCTAACCCAACCTAACAATTCAATTCAATTTCTTTCTTTATTATGCACCCCATACCCATCCCGTGGGCGGTGGTGTAAAGGATTACAGAGGCACATAATCGGTTCAGGAACTGAACTCTCTAGTTCGTTTAGCTAAGCAAATAACAATCTTTTGACGATAGTTTCACAATTATTGATGTTATATATACATGTACACATACTCATGCATACATATACATATGCATACATATACATATATACATACACATACATTTCTAATCACCCACACAAATACACACATCAATAATTTTTGTGTCACAAGTGATTCAACAAGAGGCTCACAACAGTCACTATACAAGGCACTTTACATCTATGATGAGTCGCACAGTTACTAGTCTTGCTGCACACCCACCCAACTGGGCGGCAGCTTTACAGTCATGTGCATGCATTACCTACAGTAAGCAAATTTTGGATACTTCGCTAAGATTTCGGGCAGCACATCATTATGAATGAAGTACTTACACATTTCTTGGACACTATTCATGGTATTATCTCTAAATTCGTGCGATTTTTTAATATTCCATTATATAATAACGCAAAGTATGCGAATAGTTCTGCTCACAGAGTTTACATTTAGTCAAATCTACATCAGCAGGTGTTACAAATTCCCAGAGGTACTTGTAGCCTAGCAGTGGTAACATCTAGAAGTCTGCTAACATTATTGGATGACCCATAGACGTGCGGTTCTTCATGCATAATAAAATGATGATAGATGGGGTAACTGGTGTGAATTTCACTTTGCCTCAAGTCTCCGAAATTTAGTTGATGTTCCCGGAATATTACTGCCCTCAGGCTGCTCAAAGGCAGTCCAAGATGGTAATCAATTCCCTCTTTACGAGCAAAAGTCTTGGCCAACTTATCAGTTCTATCATGCATTCGGGGACCAATATGGGAAGGAATCCATAGGAGACAGACTCTGACTCCATCATTATTTCATTATATCTGTGTCTAGCTTCAGAGATAAGCACGTCACAGTTATGCCTTGGGGAGCTGAATGCAGTCAAGGATGACAAGGAGTCACTTACAATTAGCGTGTCAACTTTGGATTCATATACGCGCTCGAGTGCAAGGATTATGGCAACCAATTCTGTTTGAAGAGTGGAGGCCCAGTTACTTAGACCCGCTCCACACTCATTCTTTCCCAGATTATTTACACTGATGGATCCTTGCATCAGTCCTATGGTGCAGCTGGAAGTGCAGTTGTTGTGACAGTGAGAGATGGTTCCAACCTAACAGCAAACCCAAATGATATAAATTCATTAAAATCTGAAAACGAACTTTGAGCGAAACGTAAAACACATAAAACGGCAGTAGTTAGCGCACGCGGTTCACAATTAACTGAAATATGGTCCCGAGTTCGATTCCCGCGCAGCTAAATTCTAGTTTAGTTCAATAGTTAAACACCCCATACCCATCTTGTGGGTGGTAGTGGAAAGGGTTACAGAGACACATAATGGGCTCAGGGACTGAACCCCACAATTAATTTAGCTAAGTAAGTTACAATCTTGATGAGCTAGTTACAAAATTCAGTATAAGTCGTCACATCAACAATGGGCTCGAAACATGCATGGCGTTTCAGGCAGGTCCGGCGTTTCAGGCTAGAAGATAATTTTAAGTAGGTAATTTGTAGCATAATTGAAAAATGTTAACAGGTACATGTGTAAGAAAATCTGAAGAAAATTAGTAGGAACATTATATTTTTTTGTTTTATTTTTTGTTAACAATTGCTTAGGTATACACAGCAATGTTCTGCTACCTTATTCTATTAGAAAGATTACACAGTGTAGATAAAAAATTAGCTATAAGTTCATCCAATATTCCCATCTCACAGGATGGTTAGTCATACATGGAATCAGGGGGGAGACAATACCAACCTCAATACAAAAACAAATCAACTCTGACTAAAAATCAGGAGACAACATAAAATGTTAGGCTGATCTATTAGCCTCCACTAGCAAAATCTGGGTACAGCACAAGAATATCTTCCAATATTCCTGAGTATATGAAGTGATTACAGAGCTCAAAGTACCTCATACCATTTGGTCTGAAGTCACTTATAATAACAGGGGCAATCACAGGTATAGTGTTGGACTACCAAGTCCAGAGATCCCATCACAATGGTTGTACTCTTCAAATCACTTGTGTTGTCCCGTCTTGAGTACTGCTCAGTACTCACTTCCCCCTTCAGAGCAGGAGAGATTGCTGAAATTGAGGGAATACAGAGAACATATATGGCACGCATAGACGAGATAATGCACCTAAATTATTGGGATCGTCTCAAAGCTCTCCAAATGTACTCACTAGAAAGGAGACGAGAGAGATACCAAATAATATACATATGGAAAATACTGGAGGGACAGGTCCAAAATCTGCACAGTAAAATAGCAACGTACTGGAGTGAACGACATGGAAGAAAATGCAGAATAGAACCAGTGAAGAGCAGAGGTGCCATGGGCACAATCAGAGAACACTGTATGAACATCAGAGGTCCACGGTTGTTCAACGTCCTACCAGCGAGCATCAGAAATATTACAGGAACAACCGTGGACATCTTCAAGAGGAAACTAGATTGTTTCCTTCAAGGAGTGCCGGACCAACCGGGCTGTGGTAGGTATGTAGGCCTGCGGGCCACAGGATCACACGTCCAGCGTGCTGTCCGCTCAGCCACCGGCTCCGTGCCACCGGCCCAGTGCCACATCTTGGGTGGCTTAATCTTCATCAGTCAATCCAGTTTGCCCACAGTTCAACCCGTCCTCGACTCAAGTCCATTACATCCTGCTTATGAATGAAAAAAAGGTTTACACACGAGTCACAACTAATTTCGTTCGAACACTTCCGGAACAAGTGCTTCACTGACGAATTATATTCGAACCCAGCCCGTCCTCCAAACAAAGATCCAAAAGTGATTCCATGCACCCGCCAAACCCCCTGTTTATGAATGAAAAGCGGTTTACACACGACTCACAACTGCTGACGTTCGAACATATCCGGAACAAGTGCTTCACTGACGAATTTTGTTCGAATCACAACGCTATAAATGCTTCACCCACGTACTACAAATACAAATAATCGCCAACAGAACCTAAACACCTAACCTAACCTATGCCTATATATGCACAATATGCTAATATATTATAATATTAATTTATACTTGAGAAAATTCCAGTTTTGAATGAACAGCATGTACAAATTTATGAATGCGTCTGTGGGGTCGACTGCTGGATGTAATGGACGAGTCGAGGACGGGTTGAAATGCTTCACCCACGTACTACAAATACAAATAATCGCCAACAGAACCTAAACACCTAACCTAACCTATGCCTATATATGCACAATATGCTAATGTATTATTGTAGTAAAAGTGTTATTATATTATTGTACCCGGACGGATGCTCGCTTGACTTTCGTTTGGATGCTCGCTTGACTTTTGTTGTCAGATCAGCTGTGTCGTGCATGTGTACAGGATGTAACTGTACTGTAATTATTTGTTGAATAAAGCCACATGTCTGGCAATGCTTCTCCTTTACCTCAATTTATTGAGCAAATAATTCAGCCAGTGAACATTGAGCGGTTACTACGGCCCGAGCGGTTTGCTACTGACCCAAACGCCACCAACGCCGCTCAGGAATGGCGTCACTGGCTCAAGATGTTCCAAAACTTCACTCTAGCAGTAGAAGAAAATACTCCCACCGTGGACAAGCTGCGTCTCTTAATAAACTACGTTGCTCCACGTGTGTTCGACTACATAGCTGACTGCGCTACGTATGATGCTGCTGAAAAATCCCTAACAGAACTGTTTGTGAAGCCCAAGAATGAAGTATTCGCAAGGTATGTGCCTGCAACACGACGCCAAGAACCCGGTGAGTCGCTTGATCAGTTTCTTCAGGCTTTAAAGTTATTAGCTAAAGATTGCCAGTTCAAAGCAGTATGACTGCTGTAGAAGCCAGTGATAACTATGTGAGAGATGCTTTCATTAATGGGCTAGGTTCTGCCACAATAAGGCAGAGCTTTCTTGAAAGTAAAACTTTAGACTTACAGTCAGCCTTTGACCAGGCTTACACTCTAGAAACGGCACAGAAACTTTCTGCCTCTTATGCTCAGCCAGGGGCTACAAACGCTGCAATGGCACTCTCATTAGACCTAGATGACTCAGGAGGACAAGAAAGTGTAGAAGAAAAAGTTGACACAGTTTCTGCAGCTACAACTAGTGATTTAAAGTGCTTCTTTTGTGGTCACACTCGACATCCTTGCAGTCGATGTCCAGCTAGAGAGGCTCTGTGTATGAATTGCAAGAAAATGGGTCATTAAGGTCTGCCGATCTCTGAAACAGACTAACAGTGCTTCAAACACCCAA